ATTTGAGACCGAAGAAGAACGTGCAGCATGATATTTCCCACGCACACGAGCTTTATACTAAGGGAAAAAGGTGTCTCCTGTGATCAAGAAGAATTCGACACCACCAACCCCCACCCCCATCCCCGACTGTTTCCGAATACAGGACAGCTACGACGTGCTCAGCACCCGAGTGCTCGGCTTCCAAAAGACGTTCAAGTCTTTTCACGCGCCAATCGTGCTGGTTGTCGCTTCGAGTGCTCTTGGCAGCCTAACGCGAGCTGGGCAAATGACACGATATGGCGGGCGAAAGACCGCGCTAGAGTGCCCATCTGATAAATAGCCGTAGCTGTGGCTTGAAAAATCAGTGGACGGGCTGACGCTGCGCCGTTTCTGCGGGGACTTCGACAACGGCAATATGATGCTGCTATTCAGCGTCCGGTATCGCCATGGGCGTCACCGTCCAGATGGTGCGTACGATATTGTAGAGGGAGCAAGTACTTTCTACGAGCCGTGCCGTATCTCGCCGCGTGGCTCACGTTTACAACTTGCACTTACAAGTTCCATGTTTACCTCATCTACAGGCAGCCTTCCAAGCTATCCTTTTAAAGTGCCGTCGGTATTTCTGCGTGTGTGCGGGGCACATGCGGGTGGGCCTTGGACGACGTCGAAAAAGACGCTTCTCTGTCGTGTTTTACAGAGGATCCCTCGCTAAGGTTTGGACTAGGCGTGAGCTAATTCTTAGCGAATGTTCATCTGGAATGCCCCGCAGCTTTGGAGCAAACAAGCATCTTAGCTCACTCTTGGAAGGGTCTGAAAGGAGCTCTGTCGCTGCCGGCGGAAAGGCTGGGCGACCCGACGAGAGAAGAAGCTGAAAAGTCGCCTCTTTCTGGTTCCCGGCCGGTATTGCCTCGGGCCCAAGAAGGCTTATACTTGAGGACGCAAGGAGCGTAGTGATGGCTTGGCAAAAGCCACATTGGAGGATTTGTGCTTCCAGGTGGTTTTTCAGTTTTGAATTGACTGTGTGCTCGAGACCGTGACCTTCACAGCATATATGCCGAGGCCCCAAGGATCTCGTTCGGGTGTCGAGCCCGCTGCGTCAGGTATTTGCGGTCTTTCACAAGATAGAGCTCGAGGACAGTCATCTCGCCGAGAAGGTCGCGAATATTCTCTTACGAAGGCCCCGCATAACCAAGCTTGAACCGTATTCAGGAGTTTTCTAAGTAGAATCCCTAGATCCTCATTTCTTTTGGCAGACTGCCGATGTCAGCCCACGTAAAGCAGAAGCGTTATAGGAGACCGTCAGACCAGCCTTTCGATTCCATGCCATTATATGTATCAATTTCATGCTTCAATTTACCACGCTAGGAGAACCTGAATCTTTCTGTAACAGGACCTCCTGGCAGTAGAACCGCTTCTCCAACTCCACTCACCAACATCGGAGACATGAATAGATGATGTCGAATGATGTGGCACTCATTATTATCATTCTACTATGATCTACGATGAGAGCTACAGCCAATTCTGATTTCACAGGAACCAGGTAAATGTTTTTCCCGGAAGGAGGGACAACTTCTGCTGGCATTTTAGTTTGGCAGAGCGTCAGAACCATCATTGGACTCTTCAAGCAACTCTAGCTGCCATAGTATGCCGCGATACCTCGTATTCTAAGGGTGAGATGACGTTTCCCCGCAGGATCAAACGCACACAGAAGCAGGCTACTTAAGAGGCCATTAAATCTTCGAAAAGCAATTCATCTATGTCCGCACACTTTGTCCGAGGGTTAGTGTGTTGGGTAGCTTCGTAGCGGACTGCCGTCGCAATGACACAGGCATTTGCTGCGAGACACCTGGGCTATGATTCCGTTCACATTTACACGTCTCGGAGTGAGAGTGAATCATCGATCTGGAAGCCACGATGGAGGTAGCCAATGCCCGAATTCGAGGCATCGGAAAGAAGGATTAATATATACAAGATCATTCAACAATAATTACAGGTAAAGGGCGGCTCATGGTGCTTCACTGCCTCGCTAGGGGCTGGGCCCTCGTCGATTTCTTTCTCGAATAGAGCAGCTCAACCACTTAGCTGCACTGGGAGTACCACTGGTTGGAAACCTTGCAGGTTCCGGTGGTGCAGCAGGTAGGGCCGGTCCAGCCCTGGCCGCCGCACTGGCCGTAGGCAGGGGCGCAGGTGGCACCAGTCGCGGGTTTCGACGGAGCAGTGGTGGCCGCAGGCTTGGGAGCGGCGGCGGTGGTGGTGGCGGGCTTGGGAGCCGGGGCCGCGGCGGTGGACAGCGAGACGCTGTAGCCGGTGGTGTCGAACTTGGCGTTAGTGCCGACAAAGGGCTCGGTTCCGGCGCCGATGCTGTAGAGGCACTGGGAGCCGGGGAGACCCTGAGACGCGGTGAGGTACTTGATGAAGTCGGCAACGTCGCCGCTGTAGTTGGTCTGCTGCTTGGTGGCGACGAAGGAGAAGACGGTCATCTGGGAGTGAGCGCCCTTGTACAGCTGCCACGAGACGCCGCTGATGGTGACGGTCGCGATGGGCTTGCCGGTGGCGCTGATAGGGCCGGCGCCGCCGAGGGCCGCGAGCCAGATCATGCCTCGTACTCGAA